CCAACAGGTACCAACATTCATGAACAGATACCATCAGTTACCAACAGATACCACAATGACCAGCAGGTACCAACATTTACAAACTGATACCAACACACACATATGCATGCGTGTGGCTGCACCATTCCCATGTTCTTCCTGTTAGAAAAGGGCTTTGAGTTTAAAGAGCCATTTCAACTTCATAAAATTTGTATGGAGCTACAAATTCCTCCTCCCTCTTAAAAACACACTTGATCCAACTTTGTGAAAATCTATGGACTTTGAAAAATGCAGTTTGTTGTGAAACTGTACTTTTATTTTGAAGTGTTAAAACAGAAAACCTTGTTGCTCCATCCATCAGACTTTGCCTCCCACATGTAGGCAGAATCGTCCTCACTGAAGGTGGAATGACCAGCAACTTCAGGGTCTTGTCAGACTGGGTGGAGGCACAGCTAGGAGTAAATCGATTCAAGTTTCTACTCAGGATAAGAGGTTACGTCAAATATTTTTTAAATAAAACTATTAAAAATATTCTTGTAACATCATGTAATGGAAATGGACAGTGTTTATATTCTGTGGTAAAGCCCAGCAGGTCTGCGCACCATGACCTACTCTCTGAGGAGATGACCTCCAGCAGCCCACAACAAACTCAAACCCAAGATTGATTCAGGTGCAGGCAACACGTCATGACGGACCTGGTGGTTTGTCATCTGCATGGGGCTGAACTCACAGCTGAGGGTTCCCATGACCCGGGTCTGACTCCGAGAGACTGGAGGCTGCAGGGAAGATTACAGGGCACGCCAAAGAGCTAGAACTGATTAGAGACACACTTCAAGCTAAGAGCTAGAAAAATGTTACTTCAAGGTCATTTTAAGAGACAATTTCTTTTGGTTTTGTCAAAGTGCCAAGAAGAGAGAGGATCACAAAGCTCAACATTAGTCCTGATGTGTCCTTGTGTGTCCACAACACGCAGGTTAACTCAGAACGAAACCTTTGTGACACACAATCCTAAACCTTTAGGGTCATTAAGCTTTGAGCTCAAAGGTATTTTAACTTAACAAGCACCCGTTCAGTTTAAAAACAAAAGAAATAGCAGAGTTCCTTTTACTTATTTATTTTTCACAACATTATGAATGAATCAGCACGATTACCTTTTTCTAAATAAAACCTGTAGATTAAATAATTCGAGAGCAGGATAGGTGGATGCCCACAACCAAAACGAAACAACAAATAAAAAAGCTTCAGTTCGTTGACGACGACCGTGATGCTGAAAAACAAAAAGATTTGGACGCAGCCCCAAAAGTCTCTTGTCCTGCACTGAACATCCCTTCACCGCCAGCTGCTGCTCTTCAGTTTTAGTTTTTTAATTGCTGGTTCATTCCTTTGAGTCGGTGTGTTTGTTTTCTGTTCACCCGTTCATTTGTCAGAGCCTTCGCTCCCTCACCTGTTCCCCGTCATTGTGCCCAGGTGTCTCCACTCTCCTCATCAGCCATCGTGCTTTATGCCACGTCCGGGTCTTCTCCGTGTCTCTTCGGGTTTGTTCTTTTGGTTTTGCTGCCACGTCAGTCTTGTGTTTCGTTTCCTAAATCAATCCTGAATCATTTTATTTGAGCTCCTCGTGTCAGTCTACATTCCTGTGTCCTTGTTGCTACAAACCGTGAGAGTTTGAAGGATTCTCGTTAAGAACGCAGGACTTCCTGAGACGGATACAGTCAACAAGAAGACGACACAAATCCACATCTGTTGGATGCATGGCTGCTTTTGCACGTATTTAAACTTTAATGTGCTGGAAATAATCTTAAAACTGAAGAGCTACTCGTCTATTCTGAACGTTTTCAGACTAAAACATGGTCCTGGTTCTTCACACCCTCAAAAGACGACCCCGTCTTCCTATAGAACCAACTGAACTGCTGCCTTCAGGATTTTTATTTTATTTTGGGGGGCTTCTTTTGTGCATGTTTACAATAACGTAACCGTTTCATCAGTAATTAGTCTAATTGAAGGCATGTGTGTTGGGTGAAAAGAACTGTTTGCAACAGTAATAAAAAAATTTAAAAAAAGTTATTTTTGGTAAAAAAAAAAAGTTGTTCCACTCCAAATCTAAAAATCGTACAAGTTCAAGTATAGGACATTTTCTGTAGAAATGATCTGAAACTTCCACATCCATCAGCATCCTTCTCTGAAGTCTAACAGGAAGTCAGAACCGTGGTCACCATGGTAACCGCACACCTGCGTCTCTCACTCCCCGCCAGCGCAGAAAACAGCGTTCAGTCGGCTCAGCTTCAACAAAAAGTTCAGCCTCCTGCGGTGAAACCCTCCGTGTTCAGTTGTGATTGTGTAAAAAGTGTTAAAAGATGAAAACAGCAGCTCAGTCGTGGAAAGTCCAACGTTCTAAGACCCGTTTAAACTCTTTAAACTGAATGACGGGCCTGTCGTGATAAACAATAAATCAATTAATCACATGATAAATGAAAATTATCAACCTCATTTTCATTTATTGGCTTTATCATTTGTTCACACTGAGCGTCCGCCATTTTGAGAACCGACAAACAGGAAGAGACAACCCATGTCACGTCAAGGGGTCTCCCTCCCATTTTTCTTAGAGACACACTGCTCGCTCCCTCACTATCCATCCTTCGATTCAAACAGTCGTATACTGCTATCCAGTGGTCAAAAAATGTACTACACAAAAAACTAATTACCAACATTTCTTCTTAAATTTGGCAATAATTACTAATTATTGTCAAATTTCAAACAATATTATCGTTTATCGCAACAATTTCAAGAAAATTAATCGCCCAGCAGAATTTGTTATCGTGACAGGCCTATTGAATGATGCTTCTGACGTCCGAGCTGGAGATCCACACAGGACTGGGTTTTCACTAAACACCACTGATGTCTGTAGAGAATTTCATCTCGACTGAGGCAGAGCTCACCGACCACTGCGACAGGAGAATTAGAAGTTCGCAGTAATAAACACCATGCTGGGGCTTCCTACATTTATAATGTTCAAGATGTTTAACGAGTCATTAAACGACCTCAGACTCTGCAACAGGACTAAGTGCTGCTGATGGACACGAGTCAGATTCTTTACGTCTGCTGGGAGTTTTGAAGGGTTGTTTTGTGTCAGAAAGGGGGAGGGTGTGACATTCAACACCTTCAAACCAATTTACAAAAGGTTCTGGGTTTTCATTAAACAAAGAGAGCGGCTCACACCTGAACACCTTCACCTGTTCAATGAATAAATTACTAGAGCAGCAGCAGCACGGCTCAGCTGAGAGTCACTAACAAAGACACGAACTGACAACAAAACATGGTTGAACTTTCTGATGTGCAAGAACACGTCACATCCAATATGATTCAGCAGTTTGTGATCACCTCCTAAATGAAAATTAGATGTGAAATCTACATTTAGAACGTTTATGGAATAAAAGCACGGAGATATTTGGCTGTCGGTCTTTTATAAAGAACTCTACTTTGATTCCTAAAACATTTACAAACTGTTCCTGTGGATCCTATATGCTCTGAAAGGTTCCTCTGCTAAAGATCTACCTTGAGCCTCTACACAGACGTTCCAACAGACAAGACCTGCTGCTAACCGGACCACACTGTAGAGGCATTTCTTTTTCACTTGAGGAGCCTTGTTTGTGTATTTTTGCTGCAAGCTTTGGTATTTTTTTGTGTTGATTTGTTTGTTTGTTTTTGGCGAGTTGAGATGATTCTTCTTGTCCTCAGCATTTCATTGCATCGTTGAACTTGTGTTGATTTGACAGGGAGCCAGTGAAGAGAAGCTAAAACTGGAAAGATATTATCTCTCCCACTAACTCCAGTTAAGACTCTGGCAGCAGCATTTTGGATCAACTGAAGACTTTTTAAAGAAACATTTGGACACCCAGATAATAAACCATTGCAATAGTCCAGTCTAGATGTGACAAATGCCTGGACCAGTTTTTCTGCATCATTTTTAGATGTTTCTAATGTTAGTGATATTACACAGGTGGAAGAAGGAGGTTCTAGTAACGTTTTTAATGTGGGGGATAAAAGACATGTCCTGATCAAAAATAACACCAAGGTTTTTAACATTAGAGCTGGAGGACAGATTAATGCATCTAAGGAGGGAGAAAGACTGAAAAATTTATTCCTAAGATGCTCAGGTCCAAAAACTAAAACCTCAGTCTTGTCTGTGTTCAAAAACAGAAAATTAAGAGTCATCCAGGTTTTTATGTCTTTAAGACATGCTTGTAGTCGAAGTAGCTGATTGGATTCATTGGGCTTCATGGACAAATATAACTGAGTATCATCAGCATAACAATGAAAATTTATCCCATGCTCTTTAATAACTTTACCTAATGGAAGCATATACAAGGAAAAGAGTATTGGTCCAAGCAGTGAACCCTGAGGAACTCCATGAATAACTTTGGTGTATGGTGAAGATTCGTTATTTACATTTACATTTACAAATTGGAATCTATCATATAAATATGATTTAAACCAATTTAGAGCCATTCCTGTAATTCCAGTATCAAATTCATGTCTCTGTAGTAGAATATTATGATCAACTGTATCAAATGCAGCACTGAGGTCTAACAGGACCAGTGTAGACACCTGTCCATTGTCGAGGCCATGAGAATATCATTACCACTGAACCACCACAGCCTCATGATATTGTCATCACACTGAACAATAATATGGCACATCCAAGTATTTCAAGCTCATGCAAGCTTAAATAAAACAAGTTATTTATCAAGATGTGTCGACATTTACATCTAAAAAGACCACACGGTGATCACACACCAACCCAGCCGATACCTTTACTTTACATGGAGTATAAAACTTAAATATTTGGTTTAATGTACATGTTTAGAATAAAATCAAACGGAAGCATCACTTGGAAAAAATCACAGAAGCATGAAAGACCCAATTAACAAGTTTTCCTGGGATTTAATTAGAGAAAGACAGGAAAAAAGCAGCATTAACACCTGTCAAGTTCCACCTGTTAGCCCATTAACATGAATAAAACATGATGCTCCCGGCAGCCAAAAGCTGGGCTAGTTAATTTAGCACATTATTAACAGAACAAGCCCATCACCCCTTCACCAATCTCCACCTCTTTTCTCTAAGGAGACCAGTCCTCCCCGAGGAGGTCTCGTTCAGACAGCAAATCTAATGAAAGCTAATCTAATTAGCGCTTTCTACTCAGCTGCACAATCGTGAAATGACCCAGTTCACTTCTCCCACACCAAGAGTGTAAAAAGTTGGCTCCTCTTTGTGGACCGGTGTCTTTTAATGAAGTCGCAGCATGGAAATGAGAAACATGAGAAGGAAAACGTCGTCTGAAATGTGTCAGTCGTCAAACTACTCCTTTTCTCCAACGTGGAGAATTTCCTGCTCTGCTCTGGAGAAGCTCAAACAAAACCAACGACCACAACCACAAAGACAACAGGTCCAGAGAAAACATCCGTCGACAACCGTAGTTATAAACGACGAAATAACTTAGTTTGAAATCAGATAATTCCACTGATAATCTGTGAAAACTCACTCAGAGACGCAGCATCATAAAAACCAGCACCATAAACTGACAGGAAACCAGTTTGAGGCTACTCAGAATATAAAAGAAACAGTTTTATGCTGTGAGATGCATGTTGCCCAACAAAGCTGTGAAAGAGCAACGTCTGCTGCATCGTCTGCTGCAACGTTCTGCTGCATCGTCTGCTGCATCGTCTGCTGCAACGTTCTGCTGCATCGTCTGCTGCATCGTCTGCTGCATCGTCTGCTGCATCGTCTGCTGCAACGTTCTGCTGCAGCGTCTGCTGCATCGTCTGCTGCAACGTTCTGCTGCATCGTCTGCTGCATCGTCTGCTGCATCGTCTGCTGCAACGTTCTGCTGCAACGTTCTGCTGCA